GTTGAAGTTGGAAGTAGGGAAGACAGTTTTAGCAGAAGACCAGTCAATAGGATGGCTGTGATCTCTGACGTGACAGAAAAGACCACTGTTAGTGTCAGCAAGCCTAACACTACCTGAGTCTGTCAGAAAGAGATCGGCCAGTTTCTCCAAAGTATTGAAGAGGACAGGAGGAACAAGAAATAGAGTAGACACCAGTAGCATCTGTAGAGGGAGGAGAGGTATGAACAAGATTAGTGCGAAGAGTGTTAGTCTGGTGGAAAGTAAGTTTAATGTCCAAGGAACGGAGAGAGTTGTTGAGATAAAAAAGACAGGGAAGGCAGAGGACAGAAGAGTTCCCAGGAGTAGAGAGTCTGGGAGAAGAAATTACGTTTAGCACATGAGAAGGCAGAGTCTATGAAATGGGAAGGGTAGCCAAGACTGGAAAATGAATTATGAAGAGTGGAAATTTTCTGATTGAAGGAATTGAGGATCACAAATGCGGAGAGCACAGAGAAAGACGGAGATAAGAACACTTTTCTTGACAGAGGAAGCATGATAAGAAAAGTAGTGAATGTACATGCCACCGTGCATAGGCTTGCGGTAAACGGAAAAGGCAAAACCTGTATCTGAGCGGTGGACATGGACATCAAGGAAAGGAAGCAAGGAATTAGATTCCCATTCGGCTTTAAACTTAATGGAAGGGGCAAGATTATTAAGAGCATCAAGAAATGGTTGGAAGAGACTAAAGTCATGAGGCCACAGAGCAAAGATGTCATCTACGTAGTGGAGCCAGAGTGAAGGGCGCACATTGATAGTAGGAACAGTCTCAAAGTATTCCCTGTAAAGATTAGCAAGGACAGGAGAAAGAGGAGAGCCCATAGCAACACCAAAAGTTTGAGAATAATATTTCCCTTGAAAGGAAAAGGAATTAGTCCACATAAAGGCAGATAAGATCAAGAAAGACATCAGTAGGTATAGGGAAACAAAGAAACCCTTCATTGGCCTTCTCTCTAAGAAAATGAAGGACATCATCAAGAGGGACATTGGTGAAGAGGGACTCAACGTCAAGACTAAGCATCTTACAGACTCACGAAATCGTAATGACATGATTGCAAACAAACCATACCACGGGTGGGAGAGAGCGAACCCATTCAGTGAAGTCTTGAGAGTGACGGAGGTGGGCAGGAGAAAAGGTACCAAGAAAGGGAGTGAGGGTTTTGGCCAGCCAAGAAGCAAGAGAATAAGAGACAGAACCTCTAGAGGATATGATAGGACATAGAGGAATATCAGGTTTGAGTTTTGGGAAGGCCATAGAAATAGTCGGACCAAAACGTTGTCATAAGCTCCTCTCTTCTATGTGCGGGTTATTTGTGTATCATTCCAGTCACGGTATTGTGCCTTTTTATGTTATTTAGGACATGTTTAATTTGATCCCACTCTGTTTCTGTTGAAGCTGAATTTGGTGGGCACCCTCATAACTGATCTCATTCTGTTGGTCAGGAGCCTTGTGCATACAAGTCTGTACTTCAATTCTGTTGTGATCCGAGTGTATTACTGCCTGTTCTTTCTGTCATATCTGAATAAGCTGCACCCTGGGATCCATATTTTGTTGTCAAAGTGATCCTTTGTGTGGGTCTCTGTGAAAGCCACAAACATTGCATTTGACTCTGTGAGGAGTCAAAATGTCTTTAAATAGATACCTGGATGTTTCATATGTGTCTAATTCCTCATCCTACAAGTTATAAGCTTAGAAAAATAATTTGCAAAAGCAACAAAAATAACTATAATTATCAGTAGTGTACATGAAAATGCACTATGTGATTTTTTTGCCTCAATAAAAGCAGTTATCTTAAAATACACTGATACACTGCTGACACACTAAGTTCAAAAAACTAAATGAATGACTACTAGGTACAGTGGAACCTTGGTTTTCATCATTAATTCGTTCCAGAAAGTGTGACGAGAACCAAATTTGACGAAAACTGAAGCAATATTTCCCATAAGAAATAATGTAAATCCAATTAATCCGTTCCAGACACTCAAAAGTATTATCAAGAAATACATTTTATAGAGAATAACTATAGTTTTACATACAGAAAACAATGAGAAATAAATAAAAAGGATTAATGAAATGGATAAATGTACATTTAACATCACTTTTACCTTTATTGAAGACTCTTGTTGGTGTATGGAAGACGGCGAGGAGGGGAGAGGGAGGAGAGGTTATCTCTACCACCCTCTACCACCATCACTACCACAACCACTACCACCCTCTACCACCATCACTACCACCATCGACCACCATCACTACCACCCTCTACCGACGAGAAACAAAGTCAGACTGACTCAGAACGTGTGGGATGCTTTGTGTGGGCATGGGCAGACACGTTCGGTGTACGGCGGACCACTGTCAACTCGGTGAAAACAGAGATAATGAACAAAAACTGGGACAAAATTTTGACAAAAAAAGTCGTTGAAAACCGAATTTGACAAAAATCAGGGAAAGCGAAAACCGAGGTTCCACTGTACAGTGGTCCCTCGTTTTTCGTAGTTAATCCGTTCCTGGAGTTACTACTATTATCGAAATCTATGATTTTCGAATCAATTTTCCCCATAAGAAATACAATGTAAATACAATTAATCCATTCCTGACACCCAGAAGTATTAAAACAAAAAAATTTTTTACATGAAATATACATGTAGTACATAAACAATACAATGGGAAATGATGAATGAAACATTAACAGCATAACACTTACCTTTATTGGAGATTCTTCTTAGTGTATGGGAGACTGGAGGAGGAGAGAGATTGGATTGTTTACAGTTTGGAAGGGGAATCCCCTTCCAGCAACACCTCAGGTACCAATTGCTTTTCTGGGGTTGCTTCTCTTCTCTGTTTCTTATTGCCACTAGGACCACCTTGAGAGTCACTGGAGTCCTGTCTCACAAAATAACTGTGGAGAGAGCTCTGTTTCTGGCGTCTCTTTAACACTTCCCTAAAATGGCCCAAGACTTTGTCACTGTACATGTTGCCAACATGGCTTGCAACAACCTTGTTAGGGTGATGTTTCTCCATAAAGCTTTCCATCTTACCCCACATAGCAAAAATCTCTTTAATTTCTGAAGAAGTCACCTTCTTCCATCTCTCTTCCTCCTCCTCTGCAGCAAGATTCTGAGCTGCGATCTGTTGCTGTTCCTGCTGAAGCTCTTGCAGCTCCTCAGTGGTGAGCTCATCGTTGTGGTCTTCCACCAATTCTTCCACATCCTCGAAACTCACATCCAACCCCATGGAACTCCCCAGTGCCACAATTGATTTAACAACAGACATAGGCTCATCAGGGTCAGTCCCAAACCCTTCAAAATCCCTCTTGTCGACACAATCTGGCCACAATTTTCTCCAAGCAGAGTTCAAAGTCCTGGTAGTCACTCCCTCCCAAGCCATACCTATAAGGGTTATGCAATGGAGGATGCTGAAGTGTTCTCTTCAAAATTCCCTTAGGGTCAAGTGAGTGTCTGTGGTCACAGTCAAGCACCTGTGAAACATTGCTTTGGTGTAGAGTTTTTTTAAAGTTTGCAATGACTTGCTGGTCCATGGGCTGGAGGACAGGAGTGGTATTCGGGGGCAAGAACTTTACTGTGATGAACCCAAACTCCTCGAAAATTAGGTCATCCAAGTTTGGAGGATGAGCAGGTGCATTGTCCATTACTAGCAGGCACTCGAGATCCAATTTCTTTTCCAGGAGGTAATTCTTCACACTAGGGCCAAACACTTCATTGAACCACTCGACGAAAATTTCCCTCGTGACCCATGCCTTACTATTAGATTTCCAAAACACACACAATTTACTCTTCATAACACTGTTTTTCCTGAACACTCTTTGATTTTCAGAATGGTACACTAGTAATGGCTTCACTTTGAAATCCCCACTAGCATTAGCACAGAACATGAGCGTCAGCCTGTCTTTCATAGGCTTGTGTCATGGCATTGCCTTTTCCTCCTGTGTAATGAAGGTCCTCTTTGGCATTTTCTTCCAAAAGAGGCCTGTTTCATCACAATTGAACACTTATTCAGGTTTTAGTCCTTCAGCCTCTATGTACTCCTTGAATTCATGCACATATTTTTCAGCCGCCTTGTGGTCCGAACTGGCAGCCTCACCATGCCTTACCACACTGTGTATGCCAGTACGGTTCTTAAATCTCTCAAACCAACCTTTGCTGGCCTTAAATTCACTCACATCACCACTATTTGCAGGCAATTTCTTTACCAGATCGTTGTGCAACTGCCTAGCCTTTTCACAAATAATCAAAGTCATAAGAGTATCTCCTGCTAATTGTTTCTAGTTTATCCACACCAATAATAACTTCTCAACATCTTCGAGTACTGGTGATCTCATTTTTGTCAGCATAGTTACCCCCTTTGTAACAACAGTGTCCTTGATTTCCTTTTTCTTGGCCACTATGGAAAAAGGGTTTGGGTGTAGGGTTTCTTATACTCCTGGCCAGTTCAGCCGCACTTGTGCCACTTTCTATTTTTCAATGATGTTTTTCTTAATTCAATCGTATTTCTCACCTTCTTTACCACAGGCTTGGCACTAGGAGCTTTCTTTGGAGCCATGGTAGCTTATTTAGTACTTGCAAGCACTAAAATGAGTGGAATATTATGAAATATTTCGTAGGAGCACGTGAGGGGACCTTCGCTCACTGGTAAACAATGCCAGACTGGCTGGGTAGGGAGGCCGCCCCGGCTCACACCGTGCGTACGCGTCCCAGACGAACTACTATTCGTGAGTCAACCTATGATTAGCGAGCCCATGTTTATACGAAAATATCCCTATGATTTCCGAAATCTACAATTCCCGAGAACTACGAAAAACGAGGGACCACTGTACTTGCATTTTTCAACAAGCTGAAGGAAAACAGTATGTATTTTAACATTAGATGAGAAACAATTAGAAATTATCTAAAACAAAATTTCTTTTTGAATTCCCAAACAAAAAATTGCATTTGATTGGTGTCCATACCTCCGTCTTTCGGCATCATGAGGATCCATACCAGGAAGAGATATGGCAATGGAGGAGGGGGCGCCAACATCATACCTCCGAACTGGTCTTCTACATACTTTTATTCTCACTAAACAGGAATAAACAGAGTTTCCAACAACTTGAATTGGAGGCTGCAAGACTGTGGGGAAGAAGCTGGAACCAAAAATTTAATTAAAGAATGCAGTTTATGAAAGATGAGAACCAAATCTCATTCTGCTGAAACTGATCAAGATTACTAACAATGTGCAAACAATCAGGCAATATATTCACTTAATGTTGAACTGTAATCATGCAATCTGTTGCTGTACTATGAATAATGATGCTGTAGGAACCACTTTACACAAATTAAAGTGAAATCTTACTCAAATTTTTTAAACTTATTAATAAGATATAGGATGAAATGTGAAAACATATATTTCAAGTGCCTTGCTCCACATTTTAAAGTACATATTCCTTAGTTTTTTCCTTAAATTTTATCTTGAGAAAAGTTTTGAATCTTGATTTGATAAATATCTGTATTTAGTGTATGTACTGTATTCACTACAATTAAAGTCAATTTGTGTGACTTTATTAACATATTAAGTAAAGTACAATTAACAATGACTGCTAAAGCAAGTGATGGGGCCAAGAGGAAATATGTAGTTCTCAAGTGTTAAGCAGAAACTTGAACTAATAAAGACGGTTAAGTCTAGCATCTTAGTGGCACAGGTAAATGAGGAATATGGTGTTAGGCAAATGTCTGATATACTTAGAAGCAAGAAAAACTAATAGTTTAGTGTAGATGCTAGTGGAGCTCTACAGCTCCTCTTACTTAGAATAAATTTATTCTGAGCCTCTGCTATCCATCACTGTAGTTTACACCTCAATCTCTCCACTACAAAAATGTAAGTAAAATAACTGTAAATTATGTATAGTAATATATAATTACAAGTAGTGTAACCTTAAGTACAGTGGACCCCCGCATAACGATCACCTCCCAATGCGACCAATTATGTAGGTGTATTTATGTAAGTGCGTTTGTACGTGTATGTTTGGGGGTCTGAAATGGACTAATCTACTTCACAATATTCCTTATGGGAACAAATTCGGTCAGTACTGGCACCTGAACATACTTCTGGAATGAACAAATATCGTTAACCTGGGGGTCCACTGTACTTTATTACAGTACTGTACTAAAGTACAACAGGTTACACTACCTGTATTCTTAAGTTTCCGGTTGTATCCTGCATCAATGGACCAAGTATAGCAGTTTCGGACAATCGCCAGTATCATACACCCCATGAACCCTTTTATATTCACTCATGTAATTTATTGTTTGGTGTGTATGTATGTATGCATGCATGCATGCATGCATGCATGCAGGAGCTTTGATTTGACCCCTGCAACCACATATAGGCAAGTACATACATATTTGTAGATGAATGGTTCAGAGAACCAACATGTTGTTGAATTAGACACATGTGCAGCTCTTGGGTATCTTTATTGAGGAAATGTTTTGCCACACAGTGGCTTCATCAGTCCATACAAAGGAGAAACTTGAAGAACAGGAGGAGACACTGCAACTTCTTGGGATCTTAATACTTGGGAATTCTTCACTTGCCTAACCCTTGGGCACGACCTACTTCCACATTGGACAAATGTGACACCACCTATGACTGCTGTCCCTCACCTGTCTACGGTTTATAAGTCGCTTCTCCGCTCTTATGCCGTATTCTATTCAAGATTGATGGACTAACCACATCGACTCAAGGCTGAGGGACTGATTACCTCATTCTCCTCCTGTTCTTCAAGTTTCTCCTTTGTATGGACTGATGAAGCCACTGTGTGGCGAAACGTTTCCTCAATAAAGATACCCAAGAGTTGCGCATGTGTCTAATTCAACAACATACATATTTACATACATACTTAGGTGTACAATATTTATGTTTTATTTGTCCAGTGTTCTATTTTTAGCTTGCCCAAAATGCTCTGTATAATCATGTGCTTTGCATATGTACTAACAAATGGCCTCTAATTTTCTATTAATATTATTATTTAAATGCATCCTACCATCTCCCACAGTTGCTTTCTGGCAACATCTGATTGTCAATGTACAAGTATTTTTTATCACCTAAGTTAATACTTTAGTATTTAATTTTAAAGAATATTGTGTTTGCATAAATTATTAACTCAGTGGAAGTGTCTATTTAGCTGGCAACAATGTAGTAAACAGTTTATTAAAGGCTATAAACACAGCAGTGGACCACCGTTCAGTTTGGCGAGTTTAGGTTACATTTCATATAAATTTCTATATATATACTAAAGCACAAATAAGCAAACTGAAAATAACCACAACAGATCTAGCAACGTGGTTCAATAGCCATTTATGTTTTGGCAACCAATAGCCAGCCAATTCACCTAGCAGTCTGTGATACCTGGGAGTTAGTTGCTGTAATGAGCTGCATCCTGAGGGAAAGGATTAAAGGACCCCAAGGAAATAAGTCGACAATCCCCTTATAATAATGCACCAATTTTGCAGGGCTACCCTGGGTTACTAACTCACTGGGTTAATAATTCAAACAAAATTTCATCTTATCTTAGCCTCAGCATAACTATATAGTGCAAAAAAAATCTTTTTTTTTTTTGCTATAATGCATCATAGTTCTAAGTAACTAAAACCAGTACTATTTATCACACTGCAATTTTTTAAAAATATTTACCAGGAAAATGCAAATGTCTCGGCCATGTCTCCTCGCGTGCCATTGGAGTGTACCTGATAGAATCGGAGGTATACCCACGACACTGCGATGCCACAGCCTATCATGGTGGTGTAGAGGCCCTCCAGCAGATTACACAAGTAGAGCAACAGGGCCGTCACAAACAGACAGAGCGGCACATGACGGTTCGATATCTTGCCTAGGGGGGTGCGGGTGTGCAGCAGTACGTGGTCTGGCATTATTTGCTTGACTGCGACTGACAGCCCAGCAACGTAGCCTGCCATGCCATTGATTGGACACTAAAAAAACCCCTTTGGGGTTTAAATTGACTTTAAAAACCCCCAGAAAACAGGGCGAGATGAAACAACACGCGTTGACAACAAAGAAGGCACACCCGAAGCCCCCCCATGGGGCTCGATAAATTTTTCCCCCACCCCCGGGTGACGAGGTCGGCACCACCTCACAGCCCACCTCCGGAAACGTGAGTAATCGCCCATAACCAAAATTGGGGGGTAGAAGGACCCGGGGGTCAACCACCCCTCCACCGCTGCCTCAAGAACAAAGCCCAAAACATTTTTAAACAACGCACACAAACTTCAAAAACAACCGTTTTTCCCTATTTCGCTACGTGCTGTTTTATGACAGGTAAATTGGAAAACTACACTACAAAGGCATCTTTGTCGACGCAACAGTTTTCGCGTTTGATACTTGAATAAAAAAAATTTTTAATAATCTGAGAAATTTAGTCTAAAAAGGTGGTCTTTAGTTTTATACACTTACCTGCTTTTGCATTTTTTTAATTTCAGATTTATGTTTTCTTGGTCGAAATCTTAATATTGTTGATTAGAATCGCAAAAAAAAAATTTGAAACGAGATGCTTTGACGACTGAAAAAAATTTTGAACTGTCAGCGAAATTTGATAAAAATTACCCATAATAAAAAAACTGACCCTTACAAATAATAATTCTTTTGGGAAAATAAAATCAGTAGCATCCCCAAATAATTAATAATAAAATAATAATATAAATAATAAGGGTAATACATTTTTATTTCTACAAACATGTAAAGGGTATACATCCAGCTACATCAATAATGGGCAGTTTTCAGGTCAGGTACCTTAAATTTATATAAATTATACTTTAGAACATATGTTTTGATTACTTAAAAAACCCCTTGTTTTTCCGGGAATATACCTAGGAAGGTTTCGGGGTCAAAACCCCCCGGGCCCGTCTGTACCAGGCCTCGTGGTGGATCGGGTCTTGCAACCAGGTTTATTTTGGCCGCCGTAAACCAACGTACGAACCCCGCCCAGGATTTACGATTTAAGGCGCCGTCCAAAGCCTTCTTAAAAGACACCCAAAGTCACGGCCTGGTCAACCCCGGCCCGGGGGCGTTGACCCCCCCAAAAATCCCCTCCGATATACTCCGGGGTTCTTGGCAACCCCCCTGGGAGGAAGTTAAACGTCTTGGGCCCCGCATTTAAATGTTTGTTTTTTGTGCTAGTGGCCCCCCCGCTTTTCTTTGGGGGGAAATGTTGCAATGTTTACCGGTATTTTGTTGCATAGGGAGTGGTTTGGGTGTAAGTTTGGTACAATCTCCTAGGATTTTCCAAGGTAAAAAATTTATTTTTTTTTTTATTTTTTAGTAATTTAACATACAAAGATTATTATTATATTACAATCGGGGGAAGCGCTAAACAAGATAAAAAGAGGTACAAAAAAAAAAAAAAAAAAAAATAAGGCAAGAGCAGCATGCCAAACCCATTTTGCATAGAAATTACGGGCTGGCAAAAATTAATTTAAAGTTTAAACTAAGCAATGATGTCTGATAAAACATTATTGTAAACAATAACTATAAAGCACAAGTGAGTTTTAAAAAGACAGGTCATATGGTTGGTCATTGCTGTACATTTATTTTGTGAATTTTATTTTGTAATTTTAAAATCTAGGTAAAATCTTGATCTTGTCAACAACCTTACAGACCTAGTGCAATTGCAAGCCCTTTTTCAAATTGTTTTTTATTTTTAAATTTTTTATATTATAATTCCTCCCAAAATCTGCCCATTTAACTTTTGCTTACCTTTTTAAAATTTTAGTCCTTATATTTTTTTTCCTTTTTTTAGCTTTTTTAAAAAACTTCTATTTTTATAAAATTCACATTTTTAAAAATAACGGGGTGCTTTTTCTTGGGTGCTAAATGAATAATTCACAATTTTCCATTATATTCCAAAGCTCATTTTTTTATTCCCACTTTATCGTCACCAAAACCATTTAGTCCCTTTTTTTTATAATTTTTTATAATTCTAACTTTAAAAAAATTACCTTTTGTAAATTCATTATTCCCAAGCTCCACATTTGATCTACTTTATTTGTATTAGCCCCTTAGCTCATTATTTTACATTTGTTAAAATCCAGGGCTATTTTTTAGCTTAAATATTTCTTTGTTTTAACTTTAATTCAACTATGTTTTCCAAAATCTATATTACAAGCATTATCCGATACCAACCTCTTATTTAATGATTTAAATGAATCAAACAGTACTGAATTACTACCTGCAGAACAATCAAGGCCCTTTTCAGTCCCAAAACAACATAACTATATTTAACTACAATATCAGATTTTTTTAAGCAAGATTACGATGACCTCTACATTACAAACCCCTTACATCCCAAATAGTCCCATCATTACACTAACGAAACCGGGGCTAAACCCTGATAGTTACAGATGTCTAGCTTTGGTTACAACCCATAAAACTGCGGGCCAATAAACAAGGGGGGGGCACAGCTATAACCCCAGCCAAACTAGAATTATCCTAAAATTCCCAAAGGGGATGAACATGGGGATAAATAAAGCAAAAATTCAAAAAAAAGTACCTAAAAAAAACCTCCACATTGATAAACACACGAGTTCCACAGTAAAAATTTTTGCCAATTTTAGTAAAAATCTAGGAAGTATGATAACTGATGCACGCATGAACAAGATCACTTATACTCTGGGGGACTTAAATATAAATCTCCTGCAAGCCGGACCCACACTTTAATGAAATTAAAAAACCAAGGTAACTTTTGTTACTCCAACAGAAAAAAAACCTACAGGTTACAGAGACTAGGTTTCCCTCTTGACCCATTGGACCAAACCATATCCCTTTTTAAAATCGGCATAATTACAGTAATACCACAGCCCCACCCCCTATTTTCCTCATAAACCTTTTTGGTAAAACCCCCCAAGACATATAAAGTCACCTTCAATTCACAAGAGGCAGCCATTTAATAACTTCACAACGAAATACAAACTTGATTGGGGCACATGAGCTAGAAACCTATACAGTTATTGACAAATGTATAATAATTTTCAAAAAAAACCCCCAAATACCTCTATAAAAAGACTGCCCAAAAAAAACTAAACAATGACAGCAAAGAGACTGAACGCCCCTGGCTAACACCCACTTCTCAAAACCCATAAATACAAAACACCAATATGAAAAACAGTACAGAAGGGGTACATCCAGGCCCAAACAAAACTTACTCGTCAATCCTAACCGCTGATAAAAGGGAAAAAAAATTGTATTATGAAACGATTATCCAACTTACGAGGTGTTTAAAAAAAAGACTGAAAACCCTTCAAAATTTCGGGAAAAAAAAAGATACACGAAATAGCAAAAATAAAATTAGCAAAAACAGATAAACCCCAACTCCCCCCAAACAGAAACAGCAAACAACTCAATGATTTCTTCTCCACGGACAAAAACCTTGCAATAAAACCAAAATCAGTTTCCCCCCCCAAATGATACCCCCGGCAACCCCCAAAAAAAAAAAAACACTGTTCCTAGTTTCCGACTAACCCATAAAAAGTCCCCCTTATTATCAACGCACTAAAAAACAAGGCAGGAGTTTTTAAAACCTTCCCCCCCTTAATAAAAAAAAAGTGCACAAGTGTTTTCCCCAATCATTGCAACACTTTTTAACAAACCATTAAAATCCTCCCCCTTTCCCCAAAACTCAAAATAAAAGGGTCACCCCGATCCAAAAAGGAGGAGCCAAAAAGGTTGAATAACAAGGGCCCCAATATCCAATTTCCACCCTCTCTCAAAAACTTTGAAAAAAAATTCATAAACAATTTTTCCCTATTTATCTCCCAAAACATACTCAACCCCTCCCAAAATTTGGATTCAGGCCTAATAAAAAATAATGGCTTTTATACCATGCTAGAACATATATACACTGCAATAGAGAAAAAGAAGTCCCCCAGGGGTTCCATTGACTTACGAAAAGCTTTTGTACAGTTGCCCATGACTTGCCCACAAAAATTGTACACTTTGTAAAAGAGGGCACCCCCTCAATACCTAAGTCTTACCTCAGCAACAGAAGCCATATGTGTACGCAAAGGGGGAAAAACCTCTTCTGCACAACCAAATTTACATTTTGGTGCCCCCAAGGGAAGTGTCCTTGGCCCTTCTCTTTTCCTATACAAAAAATGCCCTTTCCCAAATCTTCGCAATTACTAAAACCCCTTTTGCAGATACACTAATACGTCTTCTCTCACCGAGCCCAGTCACGCTAGCCAAAAGAAATACCGAATTACAGAAAAATTCACCTGGATGAGGACTAAAAACTTACACTAAAAAATTGACAAAAACCTACTTCATTCATTTTTTAAAAGAGTACAGATGTCCCTCTTAACATAATGATAAAAGGATCACCTACACAAAACTAACAGAGGGAAAATTCTTTTGGGAAACCCCCTTTATAATAGATCAAATTTTTCACATATACATCAAATTTTTAAGAAAATTTCCAAGACTGTAGGATACACGAAGAAAAACGGTACTATGTTCCCCCAGTCAGCCTCCTGGCCCTTATACTTCTTTTTTACCCCCATCTACCAAAGGGAAATTTTTGCATGGGGGTCAAAAAACAATTAACCATTAGACCACTAATTACAACAAAAGGGTGCAGTTAGAATGTAACAATTCTCATACAGGCAGCCACTCCACCAATATTCAAAACACTAAACCTACCACCATACAAAAAATCCATACTTATTACTGCCCTATTACATACAAGAACATTAACTTGAATTAAACCCCCCCTCAAAATCTCCCTTGCCAAACCCCAACAGAAAACATGACATAAACAAAGCACAGATCACTCTTTGATGTTCCTCGTGTCCACCACCTTTCAAAAACTCAATGCACATAAAAAAGGCCCTAAAATCTGGAAATTCATTTCCTGAAATATAAAAGAAACACAACCTTTTATAAAATTTAAGTCTTTCTCAAAAATTACTTGTCCCCCCAAAACAAAAAAAATACTGAATAACGAACATTTTAAAAAAAAATTTTTATCTTAAAAGTTTCTCACAAATTTATCACATAAATGTTAAAACCCAAAACCCAATCTAAATTTATTTTTTTTAAATACACACCTAACAGAATCATACCCAACTAAATGCAACCATATGCCTGTCTTTTTATACTCACTTGGCTTTATAGTTTCGTTTACATTAATGTTTTATCATGGGTTTCTCATTTTTAAATAGCAGCGCTGTATAGTCCTTGTTTTCTTAGGGCTTCTTCTTGATTTAAAAAAAAAATAATCATTGTTTGTTAGTCTTAAGTTAATTTTTTGCCAGCCCGTTAAAAAAGCTTGCATAGTATAAGTGGGTTTGCTACTGTCTTATTGTATTTTTTTTTGTACCTTGTATGTGTGCCAAATTGGAAATTTTAAAAAATAAAATTTAAAAACATTTAGTAGAATGGAGTATTTGTTAGGTAGGTTTTAAAAAAAAAATAAAGTTTGATTGGGTCCTAGGTTTAACATTTATTATAAATTTTGAGAACATATAGGATATACAAAAATTTTAGGTTCATTTATTCAGTATTTATTTGGTTTTTTAGTGAGTAAGGGAAACTTTGAAAGAGACTTGAATTTATAAACAGGAGTGTTTCTTTTTTTATTTACAGGTAATAATTCCAATTTTGGGCCTTTTATGTGCATTGAGTTTTTGCATAGGTGAGGGACACGAGGAAATCAAGATGATTTGCCTTGGTTGGTCATGTGTTCTGTTTTGGTTGGAAGGGTGTTTGAGGGGAGGGTTAATATCAGAGTTAAATTTAGTTGTAATAGGTGCATTAAATATGGGTGTTTTGTTTTGGTGAAGGTTTAGTGTTTTGAATATTGGGGGAGTGTTTTGCCTTAGTGAGAATTGTTATTTTAACTGCAGCCTTTTTTTGGGTAATTAGTGGTCGAAGGTTAATTGTTTTGAGCCCCGCACAAATTCCATAGGGGGTAGTGGAAAAAATGAGTGTATAGGGCCAGGAGGGCTGACTGTGGGATAGTCCGTACTTCGATAGTATGCCTCAGTCTTGGAATTTTCTTAAAATTTGTTGTTATGTGTATGAAAATTTTAGTTATTTCGGGTGGATTTAAGGAATTTTTCCCCCGTTGTTTGTGATAGGTGATCCGTTTAGTTATGTTAAAAGGTACATCTGTAGCTTGTTTCCAAAATGAATGAAGAGGTTTTTTCAAGTTTAGTGTAAGTTTTTTATCCTCCCAGGGAATATTTTCTGTAATTTTGGTATTTAGTATTTGGGTAGCGTGCGGGCTCGGGTGGAGAAGCGTATGTAGTGTCATCTGCAAATAGTGGCTTTGAGTAATTGCGAAGCTTTCGTAGGTCATTATGTATAGGGGAAAGAGAAGGGGCCCAAGAACACTTCCCCGTGGGACACCAAAGTAATTGGTTGTGCGGAAGCTTGCCCCATTTTGGGACACTATTGGCTTCGTTGCTGAGGTAGAATTGAGGTGTTGGGGAGTGCCCTCTAATACCAACCCGGGTTTACCTGGAGAGAGTTTTGGGGCAAAGCCCCCGCGGCCCGGCTGTGCCAGGCCCCGTGGATCAGCCCCTGTCACCAGGCTGTTGCTGCGGCTGCACGCAAAAAAACGTTCGAGCCACAGCCCGGGTATCAGGACTGACTTTAGGGGCTTTTCCAGTGCCAGCTTGAAGAGCCGGGGTTTTTTGGTAAACCCCTTATGTATGTGGGAGGCAGTTGAAAGTCTCGGGCCCGACACTTTTCTGCATGGCTCTTAAAGGTGGACACCCCTGTTTTCATTGGGGGGGTGGGCATCGCTGCAAGTCTTTTGCTTTCGTAGTGAGTGATTTTCGGGGGCAAGTTCGGTACTATCCTCTAGGATTTTCCCGGTGTATATAATCATGTATCTCTCCCCCTGCTCCAGGGAATAAGGGGTTTTGAAAACCCCAAACCTCCCCTAAATTTAGGTGTTTTTCTCCGTTATGCGCGCCGTGAATGTTTTTTGACATTTTTTTAGGGCGCAATTTACCCGCCTTGAAGGGCGTTAGAGTGTGACAAAATTTTACGTGGGGCAAGTCATTGAAAAATCTATCAAAAGCTTTACGTAAGTCAATGAAGATCCCCCGTGGGGTTCTTTTTTTTTATTGCAGTTATTATGTTTGCATGGTATAATAGCATCTTTTGTTTTTTATTAAAGGGCCCGTCCAAATTGGCAGGGGTTTGGGAAAGTTTGGGGGAATGAGGGGGGAGTAGTTCTTTATGAACTAAATTTTTGAAGATTTTTGAGAGAGGGGGGTAAATTGGATTTTGGCCCTTTTTTATTCAACCTGTTTGGTCTCCTCCTTTATGGTCGGGGTGCCCCTTTCGTTTTTAGAAAATGTAGGGAAAGGTGGAGGATTCAATGGATTTTTTTTTAAAAGGGGTTGCAATGATTGGGATAGTACTTGTGACGTTTTTTGTATAAAAGGGTGGTAAGGTATTTTAAAACCTGCCTGTTTTTCTGCGTTGAAATAAAGGGACTTTGTATGGGTTAGTCGGAGCTGGAAAAGTTGTTTGGGGGGTTAGTTGCCCGGAGTAGTCATTTGGTGGGGTTTTCTAGTTGGGATTTATTGGCAAGGTTTTGTCCTTATGGGGAAGAAATCATTGGTCTGTTTGTGGTTTCTGTTGGTGGGGGGTTAAGGTTCATTGATTTTGCTAATTTTATTTTGCTTTGTCGTTATATCTTTTTTGTTCCAGAATTTCGATAGGGTCTTCCAGGTCTTTTTTTTTTTATCCTCGTAAGTTGGATAATCTGTTCTCATAATACAATTTTTTTGCCCTTCTTATCAGGCTGGTTAGGATTGACGAGTAACGTTTTGTTTGGTCTCGGTTATGATCCCGTATTCTCCCGCCTGCGTTCCCGGGAGAACAAGTCGAGGAACTTCAACCGTTCCCAGTAATTTAGGCGTTTTATCGTGTATATGTGTGCCGTGAAGGTTCTCTCTGCATTTTCTAGGTCAGCAATTTCACCTTTGAAAGTGTTATAAGAAGCAAGATCACCACCATCTGTACCCATCAATACACAACACCAGGCCCCCTGGCCCCGTGGCCCGGGGGCGGGGCTAAAGCCCCCTTTACCACGGGTGCCGGGGCGATTCCCTGCGGGTGGAAACATTTCGAACCCTTCCTTTCCCTGTTGTCCTGTTCACCCAGCAGAAAAAAGGGACCCGGGTGTTATCGACTGGGGTGGGTCGCACCCGGGGGAAAAGATTGAGGACCCCAATGGAAATAAGTTAGACAGTTCCGTGACGCCTGCTTTTTTGGGGTTTTCCTGGGGGGCTAACCCTCCGGGGGTTAAAATCCAAACGAAATCTTACTTATCATGGGTTTTTGAGCAGGCACCCCGTCTGTCCCAACTCTGGCCACTACGACAACGTGTGGATGCTCTAGAAGCAACGAAGTAGTGTAGTCCCAGATTTGCAAAAGCCTTGACAAGTGTGACCATGGTTTTAATAACACACAAAATGCGTGAAAAGGAAAAACAGGAAAAGTTGGGAGAGGATCAAATTTCCTAACAAATGAAACAAAGAGGTAAACAGATTTTAAAATTGAGGGGTACGGGGAAAAGCTGTTCCACAAAGGGCCCAAAATTTTACTCCCCTTTGTCCCCTTTTCCCCATATCTGACATAGACAAGGATGTAAGCCACAGCACCGTGTCTTCCTTTGAAGATGACACCCGAATTTGCATGACAGTGTCCTGGATTGAAGACACCGCAAGACTCCAGGCGGACATCAACCAAAGCTTTCAATGGGCCGCAGAAAACAATATGAAGTTCAGTGACGAGAAACTCCAATTACTCCGATATGAAAAACGTGAGGAAATTAAAACTATATCAGAATATAAAACAAATTCCAACCACACAACAGAGCGAAACACCAACGTCAAAGACCTGGGAGTGATCATGCCAGGGGATCTCACCTTCAGAGACCATAATTTGTATCAATCGCATCTGCTAGAAAAATGACAGGATGGATAATGAGAACTTTCAAAACTAGGAATGCCAAGCCCATGATGACACTCTTCAGGTCGCTTATTCTATCATAGGCTGGAATATTGCTGCATACTAACAGCACCTTTCAAGGCAGGTGAAATTGCTGACCTGAAAAATGTAGAGAACCTTCACAGCGCGCATAAGGGAGGTAAAACACCTCAATTACTGGGAGCGCTTGAAGTTCCTGAACCTGTACTCCCTGGGGAGAGATACATGATTATACACGCCTGGAAAATCTAAGAGGGACTGGTACCAAACTTGAACACGAAAATCACTCCCTATATAAGCAAAAGACTCGGCAGACGATTCAACATCCCCCAGGCTCTGGTGGCTAACACTCTCGCTTCACACGGCGGGGCCTGGGTTCGATTCCCAGCCAGAGTAGAAACATTGGGCGTGTTTCTTTCCACCTGTTGTCTATGTTCCTCATCAGTAAAATGGGCACCTGGGTGTTAGTCGACTGGTGTGGGTCGCATCCTGGGACACTGACCTAATTTGCCGACATGCTCTACATAACAAGTGGCTTTCTATATAGTAGTATGTCATTGTTGTCAGCTAGGACTGTATACCTTGTGCATGTACTTGTAGTAAATAAAGATATTATTATTAATGAAAAGCAGGGGATGTCACTAGCACGTGAAGAGACAACACATTAAGTGTCAGATGCCCAAGACTGTTCAGCTGCCTCCCAGCATACATATGGGAGACTACTAATAGACCCCTGGCTTCTTCAAGCAGGCGCTGGACAGGCACCTAGAGGGGGGGGGCGCAACCCTTCTCCGCGCGGAGTAAAAAAATCGAAAAAATACGAAAATTGAGTTATTCTTACCAAAAAATAGCTGAACTTTCTGGCTACACTCTGGTATAATTATCATCATTATACGATGTTTCTACAAGGAATTATAGTCATTTATAACACATTGCAGCCTTGCCTAGCATGCGCCATGACTCCGCATTTTTTTTTTTTTTTATCATTTTCTTATATCTTTGTCTAAAACGTGAGAATAATGATAAAATTCACCAGTGCTTTGTACGTGATGGACAAATTCTAGTAAGAAAAATTAATGTAGGCCGTGTGTATTACATTACAAATGAAAATTATTCAAACATTACAGAGTCTGACTGATATTAGTGACCAAATCCTTACTACGTTAGTGTATGTTACTATGTCATTATTGAACTAATCCCTGTACTATCACCTCTTAGATAGTATTTACTACCTCACTATCCCAGGTGTCCCACACAGTTCTTTGTGTGACCCAATTTGTGTTATCTTCCCAGATTCCCAATTCACAATTTATTATTTGTTAATAGGATACTTACTCTTTAATAATATCTGTATTACCTTTTTCGTTACTACTTAAACACTGTTAAAATTCTCTTATAATCATACCTAATTTTCCCTTTTCTCTCAAACTACAAATAACAAACTAGTGTATGTTCCTACTACACTACTGTGCAATACCTTGAACCTTCCCTCACTAGCTAGTATCAACTACCTCAAATAATATTGTTCCTACTACACTACTGTGCAATACCTTGAACCTTCCCTCACTAGCTAGTATCAACTACCTCAAATAATATTCCTACAGTGATATTAATTGCTCAAACTTTATGCTATAAGGCAAATCCTACTCTCAGATTATTTTCATATCTTAGTGATTATATTGTGTGTGCAGTTAGTGTATTTTCAATAACATTATTGTTCAAGGCCCAAAACTATCTTTTGCTGCTACTACCAACTACCTCATATTATTTTTACTTTTTATAGTACAATAAATTGCTCAACTTATTATATATAATAAATCAGATCTTACTCCCAATCAATATCATATCATAGTGACTATCTGCCATTTTAACTTAGTCCCTTATATATTTTCTCCTTATTTTAGCTTTATATTAGCTTTACGAAGATGAAACAGAGAACACTAATGTAACCATGGTACCTGTTAAGGTGATAGGTATTAAAGAAAGCACTAACCCAGAAGTGCCATCCTCCGGAGAGGCATTGGATTCGCCTGACCTTCCTCATATTATAACAAATTTCCAGAAAAAAATGAGGCATCTTGAACAGATCCTGACAAGTTTAATAAATATATGTAATCACTGATGAAGCTCTTGAGCATGTGGTGATTGATGTCAAAGTGCAGCAATCGCGCCGTCAGCTTTCAGCATTGTAAGAAAGAGCCCATGACTCTTTGCCTTCAAACTTCCTGGAACTGGCTGCCAATATGCACGAAAAATGCTAAAAAAATAAGGTCCTGAAGATTAAGACGTACAAACTATGCTATTTGCACGTTAAGTGCCTGCACACTGTAGTCAAGTGCATAATAGTGTTTACCATCTTATGAGCCAAGAGATTGTAATAACTCACTACAATGGATACATTACAAATCTTTATCTTTTCATGGACATTGCTTCCATCAGGAAGCGGTTGCCTGACTTACATCATATTGTGCAACCAAGAATATTGATGTCTCTGTTTGCAGAATGTAGATTGAAAGATGGAGCACCTCCACCAAAAATTGCCTTGGATAGCCGCTTATAACCTAAGGCAACCAACTGTTGTGTGATGTATGTCAGAAAGAACTTGCCACATTCACTCCTTTCCTTGCATGAGTCGAGTTTAACCATGCAGTATCATGATGTCAAAGTATATCAAGCGATTTTTCCATAAACATTTTTAATCACTTCTATGCCCCAGCGAAGCCAGCCTTCGCGACGGCTGATGCTTTACAGATCGCATCAATGAGTGAACCTACTATCATTCTTGTAGATTTTAATGCAGACATAAGAATATTGGTGGGTCTCTAACAAACAACCAATGGAAATCTAACTAGTGGCGATTGCTAAATGACAGCATGATAATGTTCGAATTGGTGGGCACTACTGAGCCTACTCACATAATGTGTGGAGCTAAGTAGATCTGTGTCTTGGATTTAATACATCATATACGATGCATGACTCACACGTCATAGTTGAGATCTTTCTATCTGATCACTTCCCAAGACTCAATAGACAACTGTGAATCTTGATCACATCTCCAAGCAATCAAGGAGCTAAATACAGAAGGAGGAAACTTATTCCAAACCAGAACACGAACAATTTTATAACCACTTGGGATCAATGGTAAAAGAATTACAGCCCATTTGGCCAAAAAAATTTAATGATGATTAATTTACCATTTTTAGAGTTTTTCTCACAGATCAAGTGGGCGGGAAAAAAAAACAAAGACCCTCCACTAAAATAACAATAAAAACCAAAGGTAAATACTAAAATGATCCACAGCTGCGAAATCTAACAATGCAGCTAGGGGGGATTGGTAAAGCATACCGTGAATGTAAAACCCCCAGCCCTCTCAAACGTTCCAAGCTGCCAAAAAAAAGCGGGAAAGAAAGGAAAACTTAGCAACAAAGGGGAACATTTTGTTATGGATTAAATAGGTTTCCACCCCTTTGATTTTGGCTTGGAAAGGATAAATAAAATAACCAAAAAAAGACTGGGAAAATTGCTCATCCCTTTCCCCCTTGAAAAACAAATGACCTCATAAATGATTGGGCCAAAAAACCCGGCATAAAACCTTTCCACTCAATTAGAAAAAAAATTTTGGAGTACTTCTGAAGAAATGTTGAAATGATTAATTTTTTGGCCAAAATATTATGAATGATTGCCTCTTTACCGATAGAATTTGATAATGCATTAACCAAAGTCGATCAAAAGCTCCTGAGAGGATGGTATAACCATATATTCTCAAACCTAAGGGAGTGCCTGAAAACCCCCTTTTTTGGGACTGTATAATCCAGTTACATTGAGGGCGTTCTTTCCCACTTCCTGGACCAATAGTCTCATTGTCCCACCCTAAGCCCCAACACCGATACATTTAGGGCCGATCTCCTTAACTAGTTGTCTTTGAAAACTTTGAAAGAATGATCTTAAAACCGTACTAAGAATCAACATCAAATTTCCCCCCCACCTCTATGGGGGTTTATAAAGGGAAAAGTGTGCAGAAAGTATTTCCACCCTTTTTCACTGCACACAAACCCCCCCCTACAGGGTTTTACCACACAGAACAGCCAAAAGAAAATTTGGGGTAGCTTTCCGTGGATAAAGGAAAACCTTCAAAAGAGTATCCCTTGCCTTTACCAAGGTTCAAAGTGATTCTAAAAGATATGTCTTTAGGTACAACAACCGCAGGGAGGAGTTCTATTCCCATGCTATTTAATATTCTGAATTAATGCCCTCCTAAGAGTGCTGCTACCTGACCTAACCTAAACAATAGCTATAAGCTATCCTGATGATATCATGACCATACAACAGGGCATAAGAAGATGAATATCATTCTTAATGAGGTTCAAGCGAATTTGTATCGACTAGGCCTCATGAATATCTTCCTCTAAAACAAAGATATAACAAGCAAACGACATCCCCCACGCACTAATTGCAGGGTAAATCATTAGCTATGTTAAAACGTACAGATAACTTGGTGTAGAATACCCTTTAACCAAATCCAATTACCACAACTAAACAAAAATGGAAAGCTAGGCTAAATGCTCTCAAAGCGTTTGCTGGCTACATCCCAACTATTGTGCTAATGTGAGAATCGTGAGAATGATGTATATAGCCTATGTTTGGTCCTTAATTGAGTTGCAGCCCAGCCACCGTGAGAGAAGACGTCGTCGTTCCTGCGTCCTGCTCTTCATCTGAGGCAACTCTGAACAACTGTTCTCGAAATTTACTTGGGTTATCCTGAGTAGTTCTTCACAGAGCTGCGAGAGACACTTGCTTGCAGTCCACTTCGAAGCCCCCATCCCATCAAGAGGGTAAAGGCGGTGACATGCTATGCTTGTTCACCCCTATCTCATCCCCATCTGCCCGCTCGCCCCCCATCCATCCCCCATCCTCGGACCCTCACCCCATACAACAACACTGCTGGCCCACAC